GACAGAAACTGTATTTTAGGATAATAACAGACACTGCACAAAATGAGGGAAAAGAGGTCATATGTAAAAGCACTCAGACTTTTACCAAATTGTAAGAATTTTGAGGACAAAATGTATTAAAGAGTAGTATTTGTAAGATTCATAAATATACAAACAATGAAAAAATGTGAAGCATTGATGAGACCTCAGAAGAGAAAAAGATTTTAAGGCACACACACACACACACACACAAACACACACCCACACACACACACACACACACACACACACCTTAACAACCCTTAACCTAACTATTACAGGTTCACACCCAACCCTAACCCCAACCTAAACTCAAGTCACATCTTAGTCCTAAACGTGAACCCTGACCCAAAAACCCCTGACCTGGAAATGGGCCCCACAATGAATTAAAGACAAGAACACACACATAAACAAGGGCTGGGTAGAAAACAGGATTGTTAAAGAAAAGGCGAAATCCAAAATAGTTTGGAATTCTAAGAAATGTGAAAAGCCTGATAAAGGATGTTTAGACAAATAGATCGGATTTAGTTTCTCTGTACCAACAAGTGGACATATGACACTCCTTCAGCCAACTGTTAGGACAAAGGTTAAAGCTTCACTCCAAACTGTTAAAGATAGTGCTTTAAAAATGATGGTTTGCCAAAATTGATAAGCAGTGTCCAGCTGCAGTGTGTCCTAGTATGTCAAGTATGCCAATGTATTCACATTATGTCCTGTTTAACCCCAATGCTGTTATTCTTTTAACACCAAGCATTGTTAAATGTTTATTTGCCTTTTGAAAGGTTTTTATTTATCCATTTATTTATTAATTTGTTCAGTTTTAATTCTTAAAAGGGGACAACCCTTGTGTTCCTGGGCTTATAAAAATAAAAAAATTTTAATACAGTTTGTGTGGCTGAATTAAACTTGCAGCCTTGACACAGCTCTAAAAATGAGATAACACAGAAGCTGGTCAGCCCGTAAAGTATGTAGCATCTGCCAAGGGAAAGACCATTTCATTCATGAACTGCTCTCAAGAATATTTGAAATGTTTAAAAAAAACTTAGTGGATATTGGTAACTTCAGGGTTAGAAATGAATACAAATGAATGCTCTGTCTCATGGGACACAGTGCATTTATTTTTATAGGAACAAACAAAAAATGTTATTGCAGAGGTCCTTTCTCCATGGACTAGCATCTAAGTTTTACTCTGACATGCTTTTCTTGAATGCCCCTCATGGAAGTTAAACTTGTCCAATGTCTCTCTGTTTCTACATGCATGCACTTCCATGTTAACAGTAGAGTTTTTAAGGACTCATTTCACCTGCGTTTAACGCAAACTTGCATGAAGACCTGGGCATGTTGGTAGTTGCTTTGAATGTCTTGCTCTTCAAGATACTTATATAGGTATATACATAGGTGGTCTACAGGTGCAAAACTTTTAAGATATGAATCATTCTAACATTGAAAGAAACTGGAATATCTGCAAAGGGTGGAATGGCATTCAAGCTGCAACAAGGCTAAACAAAAAAAGTAAATGAGATGCCAATAAACAAGTATTCTATTGATACCTTGTCAATGGGGATTATGGATTCAGCAAAAAGAGGAGTGTTGGCTGGTGATTAAACAGAAGTTCATGTTTGTTTCAGATTAAATGGTAAATTGGGAAGAATGGGTTTCATCTTGGAGGTTAAGGTGTGGTTTCTTATGTGTGGGGGGGTAAAAAGAGGGTCATTCCCAAGGGCCCAAATCATGCAAAAATGGCCAGTGCTAAAGATGGTGTATTTAAGTACATAGACAATTAGACATATATTCAACAAAAATTGTCATAGATAACTGCAAAACAATAATAATAGCAATTAAAGTGTGATTGAACCAATTACTTCATGGATAAATGTAAAAGAGATTTAAAAAAAAAATCATGGCCGCGTGCCCCTTATATAAACTACAAAAGAAAAAGGATGTAGTATGTTTATATTTCCGTTTACAGCACTTCTGAAATGGGTACCACTCAAACTAAACAAACGAAAAAACTTCATTGAACATGTGCTTGAAAGAGATGCTGCTGAGTTGAAACAAGCAAAACAAACAGAAATAAAACAGATTTTTGAAGCTGTAACCAGCTACGGAAACAGACTTTACTCTTGCAGGAAATCTTCAAATTCAAGAAACTCTTTGAAAATGATTTAAAGATGAAGCGACTAAAACCTCTATTTATTCTGCTTTTTGAAACACTGCTTTTGAAAGCAAAAATGCTGTGTCATGCTTAAAGTAATCTTAAAGTAATCTTGGAAGTTGACAGAACTGCTTTGTCATTTAAACTGTCCTGTCATTTTTTCCAAGAATAGTTGGACCCTGAGTCTTGTCCTCTAGAATCTGTACCTTGTACATAAATTGCATTCATACAAAGCTGAGAAAGGAATGTAAAATCCCAAGAGCCTTTTTTTTTTTAGCAAAGTAATGACTAAACGTATTTCTAACTTATAGAACAACCTGGAACAAGGGACGTGACCTTGCTAATATGCTGACACTTCTTCTGACCACATTTAAAAGTGCACAGGCCACAAATAATTGTGCCTGTAGGTTTTAAATACTTAATAAATAAATAAATACTTTTGAAATTTACATTTACTACTTTTATGTTTATGTTCATTCCAGCATTCTAAACTTTTAAGCAGTCAGCCTAAAAACATATAAAAAATAACAGCTAACAAAGGGATTTTGTTAGCTGTTTAGTATCCTCTTGTTAAGGATACCAAATTTTCTTGCTAGAAATGACAAAAGCTCAAAATGAAAACAAAGTACACTTACTACAGTATAATGAAGTTTGTAAAATGTTGGTAAAGTGTAAAGCTCAACTTATACATTAAAGAGGATGAGTGGAGATATATATTTTGCTAGTATCTTCCATTGACAATATCTGAAAATTATAATTTTTACTGGAGTTATCTTGAAAATAATACATATCAATTTAACCTTTGCAAGTTTCATTAGCACAAATAATCCTCTGTGCAATATTATTCCATTGTTGGCCGTTTTACATAAAAACTAGAAAGGTTTAGGTTTAGGTTTGTGCAATCAGTGCATTTTCAACTTAACAGCAAACATTTGGTTTGGGCCAAGGGATTGTTTACTATAATCATTTGTTATAAAATTGCTATATGCAGTACTTTGATCTAAAAAAATAAATAAAACAAATAAACCCTCAAAAACTGTCAATTAAATTTAGGTTTTTATATATGATCTGGAACTCGTTCCTACATTCTTTGATTTTTAATGAGTAAATAAAGAAACAATTCTTTAGTTTATAAGTGTTGATATCTTAGCTCTTTGTTTTCAATATGTACCATCAGTTCAGTTTTATTCAGTAGCATTAAAACAGTCATTATATTACATCATTATGTTAAGTAACAAATGTTCAAATATCAAGAACAACATAATTAGACAGATTTTGAAAAAGGATTTAAAAAAACACAGAGATGGTTAAAGTTCAGCACTGGACAGCTCCCATCAAATTTAAACAGGCAGAACAGAGCAGAGCACAGCAGAGCAGAGCAGAGCAGAGCAGCGATGAAGCTGAAACAGGAATGGACCAATCAATCTCATGCTGTATGTGACCCTCCATGGTAGCTCTGTGGGCTCAGTCTAATCACAGACTTATAACGCCTTTGCTAACCCATGCACTCCTCAATCAAAGCTGTAGAAAGAAGAAAAAAACCTAATCACAGTTCAGTCGTTTTTCTGTACTAGTATTAAATAAGATTCAGTAACACAGTAAGACACCCAATTTTTTCAAACGTAAATAAAATAACAAACTATTAAAAAACACAATTATCTATCCATTTTTTTGCCCAGCCTCTACTACTCAGATACCCACAATAATCACAATAGTAAATGATAAATGCATGTATTTTAATCCCAGAATAGATCTAAGTGTTCTTTTTTTCTTTTCTCAACATCAGTTTACAAAAAGTATATCTGTTGTTGAGGAAAATTAAGAAAAAATATGTTTTAAAAAATCAAAACCAACATAGCAACAAATGATTGTTGATGAGAACTCTTCTGTCTATCCACAAGGCATTAAATGTGGCACAAAACTAACACTGCACATCACAATAAAGACATCGTTCCGGCTACAAGAAAACAAGTATAATATCCTTTGGAGATTCTGTCTTTGACCAATCTTAAAGACAAACACGTAAGAACTGAAGAGGCGATGAATGGAGCTAAAGATTTAAAACTGGAGTGAAGTTTTACCCTTGCATTTTTGAATAGACAACTACAGCTACACTTCTGGTATTTGGGGAATTTGTTATTGGTTTTTGTTGTTCAGCTCTTTTATTTTTGCGCCCAATCCTTGTGTTTAATTGCCTTTTATATAATTTATGAAAAAGAAAGGATAGAGACTGGTAGGAAAACTCCTACTTCATAATAGGAATAGGTTTACCAAAATCCTCCCTAACTGCAGCACACATGCAGAATGTATTTGTCCGCCTCAAAGGAGACGCTAGATGGCAACCAAGCTGGGTGGTAGATGCTGTGTGTGTCTGATTGTGTGTAAGAGAGTATGGGAGAGGGGAAGGGGGGGTAAATTACGTCGGCGTGGGACAGTGGAGGGACTTGCGGTCTGCTGATGGCACTCAGCTTGCAGCTGGAGGCGAGCAGCAGAAAAGGAAAACAACAGAGCAGAGCAGAATGGATTAAAAACTAAGTGAAGAGTATTGGACCACAGCTGGATGTGAGAGGTTACAAATGATATTATTTAAGCTGAAAGATTAGTGTGACCAGGTGGGGATAGATCTGCAGTGAAAGGCGGGGAGAAAAGGGATGCGCTGCGTCTCTGGTGACGCTGGCGCGCAGTTTGGGGATGGAGTCCGCAACGGCGACGCGCTGACACCCCGCTTTTAGATGGCTTCAACATTTGGGGTGCAACAAGACAGGTGTCAGGGAAGTGTCGTCACGAACCCCGGAAGCCGGAGGAGGTGGGAACATCAGAGGGAAAGATGGCAGCGAAATCCGATGGTCGCGGGGTCGTCACCGGTTTCGCCCAGCTGCACAACCTGGACGAAGTGGTGGGGACGGGAGAGGACGACGCACGGGACGGCAGCTCCTTCCACATCTGCCACTGCTGCAACACCTCGTCATGCTATTGGGGCTGCCGGAGCGCCTGCCTGCATTACCTCCGGAGGAAGGGGAGAGGGAAGGGGAGGGATGCGGGGAGACCACCACGGGAGGAGCGCCTCTGGCTGGACTGCCTGTGGATCGTCCTGGCGCTGCTGGTCTTCTTCTTGGACGTGGGCACCGATCTGTGCCTGGCCGCCGACTACTACCACAAACGGAAAATAATGTGGTCAGGCTTGACCCTGCTCTTTGTCCTGGTGCCCTCAGTTCTGGTCCAGATCCTGAGCTTCAGGTGGTTTGTGCAGGATTACACCGGTGGAGGACTGGGCTCCGTAGAGGGACTAAGCAGTCGGAGGGCTACGACTAGTTACCAGAGGGACAGATGCTGTCGCCTTTCTGTCTGGATCTGGCAGACCATCATTCACATCTTTCAAATGGGACAAGTGTGGAGGTAGGGCAAACTTTTAGTCTGCTTTAAAAATATCTCCTCAACTTCTTCAAACGAAGTCCTTCCTCCTCCTCCTTCTCCTGCTGTCACCTGGTATAACCCGGAGCTTGTGTACATGACTTGGGTACAAATCAGCACCATAGTGAACCCATTACGCTCGGTTTGCACTTCTCACTCTAGTGCACATGTCTGCATTTCGTTTCATGCATGCATTCGCTCGAATTTTTACGCTGTCGGCAACAAATTTCCCATCCTCTCTCCAGCAGACGTCTCCACACATCTGGACAGAAAACTGCACCGAGATTGCTGAGTGCGCCATTGCGCTTATGTGGGAAAGGGGAGAAGGCGGCTATTTGTTCAAAAGAGGGCCAGTTGAAAGCTTGGAGCGAATGAGTGTGTAAGAGAGGGAGAGAGAAAGAAAGAGAGAGAGTCGCTGTTCAAATCACAGTGTACAGTCGCCTCGGTTAACCCGCTGCCCCCCTCCTTCCCTCTCTCTCCCTCCGCATACACCAACCAGAGGCCAGACAAGCATCTGGTTTCACGCCTCGCAAAACTACATCTCTCCCCACAGACATGATGTCATCGACTCCTCTGCGGCGCTCCACGGAGCTGATCCCCATAAACTGTTTCAAAGGGTTTTCACAAACCAAATCATGCGTCAGAGTAACCAACCAGCGGAGACTCTATCGGTGTGCGCGTAATATGTGACACGCAGCGTCCACAGTGGGCCAGACTATGATGGCGAGACTCCATGGTGTGTGTATATATATATATATATATATATATATATATATATATATATATATATATATATATATATATATATATATATATATATATGATGCTGATCAGTGAGGAGAGACTTGTATTTGGTGCAAACAGACGCAGTGGCTGACATTTAAAGGGAAAAGCTGAAGCATGACGGTTGTCCAGAAAGAGGGGGTGGGGGGCTGCTAGCGTGAAACAATATAAGTAGAACCACAGCAGAATTTGATGGCAGGGGTCATAGGGTTTCATCCTGTCCTTTTGTGGTTATTATTGTTATTTTTTAAACATCCACACAGGGAAGGGTGCTGTGCAGCCAGAAGCCAGAATTGATCACCACTGTGTTGCTGTATTTGTGTTTGGCAGCAAGTCGCATGCTCCCATTTCCGATAAATAGATTTTTATAAACCATGATGGTGTTTTGTTTTCAGGCATGATGCAGGATGGTTCAAACATGGGTTCCAGAGTAGAAATCACATTAATTTATTTTATTTATTTATTTTAAAGGGAAGACACCCTGGAAAGCACATCATTCAGTTTCTGCGTTATAATTTTTTTTTGGTCAAAAGTGTATTCATTATAATAAAAAAATAAAACAAAAACAAGTTACCAGTCAGCCGGTACTGTCTTATTACAAAAGTTTACATAATATAAAAGAAGATGATGGCACCGGGGTAGAAAGAGTTATTGGAAAACTCTATTCAAATATAACTTTTTTCGTTCCTCCTTCAGAACTACAACATCTGCATAAAACTTGAAAAAGGGAAAATAAGTGATAATTCACACTCCACTAAATTAGTTCTACATTAAAAGCCAAGGTATATTTTTTAAATACACCTCGACTTTTGATGTAATGACCCACCCTGAGCTCTGGATGTTGTCAGGCTGTCTTGGCTGACACTCCTCTTCATCATTGCATAGAGGTCGGGGACAGTATCCCAGGATGTCTGTTGAGGAAGATGGTTCCCCTGCATAAGAATGGGGACAGAATGGTGTCTTCCAGCTATAGGGGGAACACACTTCTCTGCCTCCCAGTGAAAGCCTTTGTCAGGGTCCTGGAGAGGAGACTGCTGATTTTCAAACCTTGGCTTCAGGAGGAGCTCATCCTGGCAGTGGAACAGCGGACCAGCTCTACACTTTCTTCAGGGTTCTTGAGGGTGCATGGGGTTTGCCCTACTGGTCCACATGGGATTTGTGGACTTTGAGAAGGCATTTGACCATATCCCTCATGGTGCCCTGTGGGGGTACCTCAGGAGAACAGAGTCAGGAGCCTACTAGGGGCTATCCAGTCTCTGTAAATGACCAGGAGTTTGATCTGCATTGTCGGTATTAAATCAGCCCTTTTCCTGGTGCATGTTGGACTCCAACAGGGCCACCCTATGTCACCGGTCCTATTCATAAAATTTGTGAACAGGATTTCTAATGGCAGCCAAGAGCAAGAGGGGGTCTGGCTTGGGGATGTCCCTGCTTTTTGCAGATGACATGGTTCCGCTTGCTCCCTCCTGCCAAGAACTACAACATATACTTGAGCAGTTCGCAGCGAAGTCTGCGGCTGGGAACCTGCTCCTACAAGTCCAAGGACATTGATCTCAACCTCAAAAAGGTGGCTGTTTACAATTTTCATATTATTACTGCCCTAAGTGGGTTGCTCCTTCAGCCAAAGGCATGTTTTTCAGTCTATATACTCCATTCAACGATTAATCTATTACTAAATTAGTTGATGGGCATTTCAATAATCGATTAATCATGATTACGAGTTTTACGATTAATTGTTTCGTTCCTAATAAATACACAATGATACGCATGATCAGGGGCGCATGACTGTCATCCAGCGGTTTGTGGGATTAAATTCAGTTATCCTTGAATGAACCAAAACATTTAGTTGTAGGGATTTCTACTCTTGCCAGTGGTAATCCTGCAAATAAGTGTTGCTTCTGTGCGTAATTTTACGTTGGTTGAATGCTACCACAGACAGAGATTAATCAAAATAAGTGGTCCTCCTAATTGTCAATCATTCTGTTGATATGTTTATGCAAGGCTTTCCCCATTTTCATTGAATGTGACATAGTGGAAAAATTGCAAATCTTCTTTAGGAAAGTAAGCTTGTATGGGCTATACAAACAGCAACTTTTAAACAGAGCGCGCACGAGGACAAATAGGATTGTTCATGCTCTAGCACACATTTAATAGGCATTCCCTTCAGGAGAAGGTTTTGCATGTGCATCTTTTTAAAGTGGAGAGGGTGAGTATATTCAAAAATTCACAAAATCCTTCACTATACCTTTAACTTTCCTTAAATAGCTCATTTCAGTGGCACCAAGGATTCACACCTTTTTGTTTTGGTGTTGCATCTCAAAGTTGCACTAAGAAACTTAGTTATGTCAGCTTGCTCTGTACTGAACCATTCTGCATATGTTCTTCTTCAAAGCAGCTGTGGATTTGTTCAATTTGTTACTGCGTGAAAGTTGAGTGCTTGTGCCAAAAATGTCCTCCGCATATTTTTGCTCAGTCACACTGTGTCTCAACCGCTTCATTTAAATCAAAACTAAGTTACAAAGTCTATTTTTTTACAAAGCATTTTTATAAATGATACAAAATGGTTGTAGACTTTAACAAAATTTGGTGCAAGTTTAGATGGACTCAAACAAAACAGTAACATTTCAAACTTTCTGAACATCCTAAATGATTGTTAATTAAAAATAGGACCAAGTCTGTCTCAAAAGCAAATAACCTGACATGCTCATACAGTTCTGTTTGTTCCATTCAATAGGGCTGGTTTTAGCTCCATTCCCAAGGATACATTAACATTTGACAGGAATAAACTGGATTTGAACCAAACACATTTGGCTTGCAAGACATCTGTCTTTCCCGCTGTGCAACAATCACCCTGGATCTGCTAGCAGCTTTAGAGCTTATAGTCAGGAATTCTTGTCAGCCCTCTGTCATTCACCAGACATGATCCGTCTGACCAACGATCTGGAGTGAAAGGTCAAAAGCTGTTCCTCTCAGCTTAGCTAGAGTTCGCAACCTCTAAGACTCTCTAGAACATCAGCTGATATGGGGATTATTTGGCAGGCCATTCTGTCAAAATGAAATAATCTTACAATACACCATGGGATTTCATGCAGTGTTTGATTTTAGCACAGCACTAAGGACACTTAATTTGAAAAACTTAACTTGATGTTTTATAATCATCAACTAATTTTAGTAATCAATTGATCGTTTAATGGAGTATAGAGACTGAAAAACATGCCTTTAGCTCACAGAGCGACCCAGTTAGAGCAGTAATAATATCAAAATTGTAAAATAAAAGACCAGTGTTTCATAGACCTGCTGCGACATGCTCCATTTGTGAAAAGTTTTCACATAATTATTGTCTTAAAACAGACCAAGGTGCTGACAGGAGTGAAAAGTGCTTCCTCATCATGTCTCATTAGCTACTTCTACATTTTAGTGCATTCACCCAACCCCCATCATCAAGCATCTGAGGATCAGGTAAAATTCAATGTGCTTGTGTTGCAATTATCTCCATGTTAATTGTTGACAGAATCCCATCTATAATCCCGATATGTCACCAGTTACCATAGCTCTTTCATGTCCCTCCATGCTGGGAACCTGCAGCTCTGCTGATGGTGTTAAGGATTCCGCTCATGCACACACTGGATCAGACATACACAGAGGTCTCCCGGTGGTACGATGGACAGCTTAATCAGTGTAAGCCCAAATTAGCTCCTCGCTGAGAGAGGAAATGCATCCATCTCTTCCCCCTCCTCTGTAGAAATCATGTGGAAAGGTTTGAAATATCCATGTAGGGAATTCCCAGCCAAGGGGAACTATGTGCATTGATTTTTTTAGATCTGTGGTTTATTTAAAAAGTATTGCATCTACTTTAAAAGCTCTCTGAATTGCAATATCTTTGTCTTAGTGAAAATAAGTGAGTGGCTGAGTTGAAGTAAATGCATTTTGTCAACATTGGGGTAATCTTTATTGTTGCAAAAATATTTCAAAAGATTATTTTTCTTTAAGTGATTTTTAAAAGTTAATCTTAGATGCGGTATACTGAAAATATATTTTCCTCAATTTACTTCGGGTCTTAAATTCCCGCGCTGTGCAGATGTCATGTTAAATGGGTCCAGACTAGCAAACAATCAAAGCATTATATTCAATATAGATTTTTTTGGATACTAAGTAGCAACCAGCTCAACTTAGACACCCATGGAAACTTTATGTAGAAAGTA